AAGCCGCTGGCAACGCAAGAACCCTTTACAATCAAGCTCAATATGAAAAAAATACATGGATTTATTATGTTATACATGTACTTGTGAAAAAAGGGAAGAAATAAATCTTTTTGCAAATATTAGGAAAGAATCTATTCTAACATTTTAGATCTGGGAGGAATAACCAAGAACAACCGCCCAAATTTGGATTGTGGGGAAAGGAATAGGGAGCAAACATAAAGGAGCATATAATACTCTTCTTAATGCACCTGAAAAAACTTTGTTGGAATGAAAGAGCTGAACTTACCATATAGTTTCATATGATTATATTTCTCATTGTGAGGGAGTGAACCAGTTCCATGCATTGTGATTTGAGTACATGCACATTGGTGTTCTGAGGGCACCGAATGAAGAGCCACGTTGTTATATACAATGCCCACGTGTTGTTAAAATTCAACCATAATTGGGATCTCCAAATGTCGTCAACTTCTTTCTCTAAGTTATACAAGTCTTATTGACAAAGGAGAGGGTCAAAGGAAGAAGGGCTTGAGAAAAGAGAGATCTAGCGTAATCGAAATAATATCTATTTCTATTTGGAAGGCAATGACTTTCGAAAGGATATTATTTCGATTACTCTGGATCTTGCAAATTCCCAGTTTTCAGTATAGGAAAACTCTTCCTTTTTCCTGATTCACTGATATTTAACATCGTAGTTTCATTTATTTGAGAATACTAGTTGTTTTCATTATCTTTATTAAAGCTATTTTCAGTTGTAAGTTCCAAGCTACGCTTTCAATCACCGACACTCATCTGCAGATAGCGTTCCTACCATGGCATCACTGTCAACAACATTATGAATGCCACAAGATTCTTATAGCTAAAGTACTATATATTGTTTAGAAAGATGAAAAAGATGAATAGCTTGTGATGATCGTGTCACGTCAGCATAAATGCTTATACTATAATTATATTTCAGAAATCTTGATGAAGATATATATATAGTAACCTAAGTTTTGCTCAGTAGCTGATGAAACTAGCAAGAATTTAAAGTTAAGTAGGCTGATTCCCTGTAAGTCTTTTCTTTCGTGCTTTGGCGTCATGAGGTACTTTGCCCAAGTTTGTCGATGCTTTAAAAATATAAGAAATATTCCACAATAATAAAATGCCGCTAATTAATAAAATGTTTTGAAATTCAAGAAGTAGCAGCATTACTTTGCCTGCGTTTTCTTTATTTCCAACAATTGTTTGACAGGCAAGCCTCCATGATTCAGGTTTCTGCAATCAATAAAAAGATGAACTTTATCCAGTCATAATATAAACATATATCCTTTCATCCTGACCGCGCAGAAAAAAAATGCGGAAGTTTTAAAAATCATTCAAGAGTGATATATTGACATGCCTTCTTCAAGTACCGTCTTTCAGTGTCCGTTCTTTCGTTCAAGAGATCCTTTCCATCAACAATCTGCAACAAAATTGCAAGGATTTCTTTTTTACAACTTCCTACCACGTCGCGCGCAAAATTAAATATATAACCATCCTTTTGTTGCAAAATGCTCTATTACGATTTGGTAAGACACAAGATGCCTAAATCAATTTACCTCCACGATGCAGGTACCACAACTTCCACCACCACCACAGTTCATAACCTTTCCCTGAATAAAGCACATATCATCCGTTAAAATTGCATATAAACATGATTTTCCTTTTTGGGTTTTAAAAAAAATTGTCGAATATAAACGGGTCATATGATAATTACGTATGCTGCATAGAGCTCAATCTTGTTATCAGACATAATACTTCTGAGCAGCTTCTCTCCACTGGTTGCTTGTGCCTTATCAATTGGATAGGACCCATCTGCTCCCGGTTTCGGCTACAGGTAAGTTTTGATAAATAAATTATGTTAAGATAGCAGAAAATCATAATGTGGAGGGGGGTTGAGAGATTTAGTTACCCCGATGAACTCCAGCTCGATTCGGGGCTTCTCTGTTTCTACTGAAGAAGAGTTTGTGGAGCAATGAGGAACGCAGAGTAGGTTGGTTCTACTTCTTCTGGGTTGAAAATTGTGGAGTTTGGTAACGGAAGAGGGAGAGGGTGATAGGGAGAGAAAGCTCATGGCTGTCATTCTCTATTTACATACTGCGCTCTATTTTGTTTTGAGTTGAGTTTTAATTAGAGTGGAGTTTGTTTGTGATGGAGAGAAGAGAACAAGGGAGTTTGGCTGAAGCGTCATGAAGATGAGTAGAGTGTTCTTTGGTTTTGGATGGAGGATTGGTGGTTAAAGTTTTGACGCGCAAGAGGAGGATACTTTTTCTCGTGTGGATTCAGCACACTGAACATAATCTCACAAAACCCCATGGAACTTATTATTATTATTATCACAATTGTTGAAATATACAATTATATCTCTACATCCTCACCATAATTTCGAAGTTTTGATGTAACGACACGGTCCTTTGACATGGTATCAAAGCACAGATTATAAATTTTGTTTGGTCACAAATTTTAAACAGATTTAAAAAAAATAAAATAAAACCGCATTTGTTCAGTTACAAAAATTAAAGAAAGCGGGAATCATTATCTTACAAGTAAAAAATAAAATTACTGACAAATGAAGTCTTTATTGACTATCTATTACTATAATTTAAGAAAAGACACACTTTTAAACTTGCACTTATATACTCATCTTTTTTGGTGGCACTTAAACACCCTAAAGATTTTGCAACTAATACCTAAATTTCCTAAAATTTTTAAAACTTCCACATAAATACCCTCAGATACGCAAACTTGAGGGTTTTTAAGTTAAAGATGTAAAACTTTAGGGCATTTAAGTGTCATATTTAGAAACTTTAAGGTATTTAAGTGCAAGTTTTAATAACTTTGAGGTATATAGGTGCTACAAAAAGCAAGTTAGTGTATAGAAGTAAAATTTAAAAAACTTTAGGATGTTTTCTTGTTATCAAATACAAATGGGGGTAGATAAGTGAGAAGTGGATGAAACAATAGGGTACATAAGTGCTATTTAGCCTTTAAAAATAGAGCTGGGGGTACTTTCGTAATAAAAACTCCTTCGTCCACCGGCCATATTAAAGCTCACCGTACGGTCTGCTGCATTCCGAGAGCTCCCTCTCCTAAAATCATCAAGGAGCGGGGGGAATTTTTTTTGAGAAAACCCTAGCGAAACCTCCTATTTTTAGCGAGATCTCGGCAATGGTGGTCGGAACCCTAAGCGGGCTCCAAGATCACCTGAAGCTTGGCAGGGAGTACGCCATGGAGGGGCTCTATGACACCTCCATCATCTTCTTCGATGGCGCCATTTCTCAGATCAACAAGTAATTACCGTACTTTTTTTCCTCAAAATTTTGGCTCCAATTTTGTTCGAAATTAATACTCTTGCTTAAAGATTCCATCTTGTTGCCAATTTGTAAATGCATCTTGTTGTCTTGCTTTAATTCCGAAAATTTCTCAGTTGAGGATGAAAGATGTATTGAAACGGTTAAAAAAGTTAAAATTCATAGGTTGCTCATTTGAGAAAAGGAAATCAATGTTGAGAAATTAATGACCATGGTTGTTGAATGTGATGTTGCAAATTTCTTACAAACAGTTTTACTTATTATTATGTAAGAGCTAGGTCGACTAATCGTTGTGTACTTAAATGTGCTTGGATACTTAGTTTTGACCTCATTGCTCTAATTCAATTGCGTTAATCTTCTGAATAGCAGTTACAGCGATTTCAGTTTTTGTTGGTGCCTGTGGCTAAATCTAGAATAAAACAGATAACTCAGTTAGAGAGCTGAAGTGCTATATTTAAAATCTTTTCAAGTTTAGTTGCTGTGTATTTATGAAGCGCTGTGCTTAAAGCAATATTTGGCCTACTTCGGTGCAATGATCCCAATGCCAAACTGTTTTCAGGAACAACAGTACAGTACACTAGTGTGCATCAACCAAGTACTATCAAGATCTCTCGATCTATAATACCTTTCAGTCAATGCAAAGATCTCTTCGATCTGTTAAACCTTTTGGTTCAAAACTTTTCGATTCAGGCAAAGATCTTATTTATCTGTTAAAATCTTTCGGTTCAAAAACCTTTTGGTTATGACAAAGATCTTTCGATCTGTAATAACTTTTCGGTTCAGGGCTTTGTTCCTTTGGGCATAGACTAAAGCTTGCATGTTTTCAAACTCTGTAGTAGCAGCACAACAACTTAAACACTTCAATGTATTTTTCGTATCGTTTAGAGCTGCTCCAAGGGGCTCTATTTATAGGTCTCTAAGGTCAGCTCAAGGGTCATTTGACTGTTACAAATCATAATGATAATTATGATTATAACAGCAAATCTCATTATGATTTGTAACAACAAATGACTTAATTGCTGTAACTGCTGTATGCAATTTTAATTACTGCATGTAGAAACGTCTGAGCGCGAGGGTCACGTTTCTACCCAACGCGAGGGTCGCGTTCCCTTTTGCGAACGTGAGGGTCGCACCCTCGTGCGAACGTGAGGGTCGCGTTTCCTTGCCGCGAAGCAGCTTGCGAGGCAGCTTTCGTGACGCCAAAGGGCGCTACCTAGCCCCGATACCTCCGTGCGAAGTGCAAAGTGCGCCCAAGGTTGTTGATAGCGGATCGCGTCGCGGTGAGGTACCGCTAAGGCTATCTCGGGCTATTGCGGCGAAATAGCGGCAAATAGCGCACAGTCAAATAACGGTCAAATATATATATTTAAATATGCTAAATAATCTTTATGACAACTATTTTGATTGTTAGTTTAATTTTTAGTCGATAAGGAAATGTATACTGAATAAAATAAATCCAAAAAAAGAAACGTAGAACCCTACTGCTCATGAAAAGTAAGCAATAATCTGCTTGAATAAAGATATCAAGTGTTCAATAACCATTTTATTGTACAACTCGAACAAATATAGATTTATTTGCAAAGAATCAAGCACTAGCTTCATCAATATAATCTTATAAATATCATAAATATATTTTTACCTGAATTTTTAGTTTATTACCTTTTCTCTTTGTTGCAAACGAAGCCGCTGCCCAACAAAGATGAAGAATTGGAGATGTTGTTGTCGGAAGGAAGTGTTGCCGGAGGGCAGACGCTGCTGGAGTGTTGCCGGAGGGAAGGCTGTGAGAGAGATGGGTTGACCGGAGAGAGAGATGGGCTGACCGTAGAGAGAGAGATGGGCTTCACAGGACTTCGGAGGTGTTGCTGGAGTGGTGTGGGAGACGGCTTTGACGGGAGCTAGAAGTCGTCGTCGGAGGTGCTGCTGGTGGCGAGAGTC